TGAGGATTATGTCACCGGTGTACTGGGGATTATATCACCCTTGTACTGGGGATTATATCGCCGGTGTACTGGGGATTATATTACTGGTGTACTGGGGATTATATCACCAGTGTACTTGGGTTTATATCACCAGTGAACTGGGGATTATATCACCAGTGTACTGTAGATTATATCACCTGTGTACTGGGGATTATATCACCAGTGTACTGGCGATTATATCACCAGTGTACTGGTAATTATATCACCGGTGTACTGGGGATTATATCACCAGTGTACTGGGGATTATATCACCAGTGTACCGGGGATTATATCACCAGTGTACTGGGGATTATATCACCAGTGTACTGGGGATTATATCACCAGTGTACGGGGGATTACATCACCAGTGTACTGAGGATTACATCACCTGTGTACTGGGGATTATATCACCGGTGCACTGGGGATTATATCACCAGTGTACTGGGGATTGTGTCATCAGTGTACTGGGAATTATATCACCGGTGTACTGGGGATTATGTCATCTTTGTACTGGGGATTATATCACCCTTGTACTAGTCATTATATCACTGATGTACTGGGGATTATATTAAAGGTGTACTGGGGATTATATCACCAGTGTACTTGGGATTATATCACCAGTGTACTTGGGATTATATCACCAGTGTACTGGGGATTATATCACAAGTGTACTGGGGATTACATCACCAGTGTACTGGGGATTATATCACCGCTGTAATGGGGATTATATCACTGGTGTACTGGGGATTATGTCACCAGTGTACTGGGGATTATATCACCTGTGTACTGGGGATTATTTCACCAGTGTACTGGAGATTATATCACCGGTGTACTGGGGATTATATCACCGATGTACTTGGGATTATATCACCAGTGTACGGGGGATTATATCACCAGTTTACTGGGGATTATATCACCAGTGTACTGGGGATTACATAACCAGTGTACTGGGGATTATATCACCGGTGTACTGGGGATTTTATCACCGGTGTACTGGGGATTATATCACCGGTGTTCTGGGGATTATATAACCAGTGTACTTAGGATTATATCACCAGTGTTCTGGGGATTATATCACCAGTGTACTGGGGATTACATCACCAGTGTACTGGGGATTATATCACCGGTGTACTGGGGATTATATCATCAGTGTACTGGGGATGTAGATGAAAAAAAATATGAATGACACATAGATAAATGCAATGTGGAGAATTAATGATAACAAAAATTTACACTTTACATAATAATAATTAAGACAAATATTACGTAATTCTTAAGTGAATCAGAGCATGAACAATGTAAAATAAATTACGATGGTCAAGACCCCAGAGCAACAATAGTTATAACTCCGTTACGCTGCAGACAGCCTCAGATTAGCTGATCGAAGGTTAAGTGAGTAACATGTTTAGAAATTGCAGGAGATGGTCACCACCTGGAAGTCCACATGACTCACGAAATCGTAATGCCACAATTGCAAACAAACCATACCACAGGCGGGGTTAGAACAGCGTTGAACCAAGCTGGCAGGAGTCTCTTAAGGTGACGAGCGAAGAGACAACTCATAATTATTCAGGCCAACGCATACATAGAAGCCTTTCCACTAATGACGGTGAAGGTTGGATGGGCAAATCCACGAATTTTTGCCAAAGTCTTGCAGCTGGTATAATGCCGTGTAGTCCGCTGGCCCAGTCAAAATACACAGGTTACGGAAGTGAAGCATACAGAGCGGTTACCACCATGACTCGTGCTCCACACACTCGGTGAGATGAAGGCTTCAAAAGACGAGCGAGATAACTAATAAGCAAATAATCCAATATTACGTTAAAGCTAGTTTCACTAATCAAGACAGGTAGCAGCTGTAAAAATAATACTTTAAAAGCAGGAATGCTTACAATCGTTAGAGACAGAGCTGGGTATGTACATGACCTTTTGATACTCAGTACTACACATCACCTATTCCTCCCATAACAGTATGAACTTTTCTCCTTACATTTCCTCATACCAAGACTTATAGTTCATAATATAAGTAAAGCCACTGAAGAAACAGCACACAGATATAAAGTCGAATAAAGAAAGTAACATTTCCACTGACTGTTGCATCTTAACCACAGAAATAATTTGATGCCCCGTTTAAGTTGCAAGTCTGACCGACTGATGAACTGGCTATTAATGGCTAATGAACAGATTTAGAGATGAATTCCTTTCCGAATTATTGAATTTGAGCTTGGACATTCCCCAAATTAGGGCAAGACATTCCTTTTCCAAGGTGCAGTATCGCTGTTCGGCAGACAAAAGCTTTCTAATAAAAAATAAGAAGCTGATAGTGAAACTGGATGGTTCCCAGTCCTGTTGAAAGTATCAGTCCAGAGGAAATTGAGAACTGTTGGAGATAATACAACCCAGATACCGAATTTAATAAAATCCCACGAATTATTTTTGGTTGGTGGTAATGCGATATTAGAGTAATCTAAGTAATGCTGAGAATAGTGCTTAATATGGGTCCCCTAAGTGGAGGTCATGATAAACATTGTCAAAGTGTCTTGACAGACATTTAAATCATCCAGCATTTCCCTCATCACAAACAGTAACGAGTCCTGAAGCCATGGTCATATACTGTGTCAGAACTCTATGAGTAAGGTCTACTGCAGTGTATAGCGGTGTACTGCAGTGTAGAGCGTGTACTGCAGTGTAGAGCGTGTACTGCAGTGTAAAGCGGTGTACTGCTTCGAATCGGAATGGAGCAGGACCTGGTGGTATGTTTACATAATATCAGTCTCTAAGAAGTAAGACTGGCAGAATTAATGGAGATCATTGTCTATGACAACACAGGATCAGCGTCCCACTGGGTACTGAAATTAAGATTCCGGAAGTTTGTTAGAACCGTCAGACTTCTTCATAACAGCAGGTGAACAGAAATTTGAAATTGGAACTTAAAGATTGTTAAGCCTCTTAATTTGTCAAACTCCTGGCCGAACTCTGTCCAGAGGTGGACTGGTACAGTATAGACTTTCTGCCTTACTGGACTGTTGGGGAGAAATTCATGTCCTTTTTACTTTAACCAAGTTTTTCGGGTTGAGAAATGATCGGCAGCTGGTAGGTCATATGCACTCTTAAAAACCCTTTCTCGACGGGTCCTGGGGACGCCCAGTAAGATATGGTCTTCCTCACAAACCATACCACGAGCGGGGTTAGAACGCTCTGATCGCGGGTTCTAACCCCGCCAATGGTATGGTTTGTTTGCAGTCGTGTCATCACGATTTCGTGAATCTTCCTCATTTGAGACAGAAGCTAAAGCTAAAAGATTAAATTTTTATATGAATATGAATTAAATCACCTTTAATTCATTCGATTTTATTGGATCCTCAAAGATTTTTTTTCTTCTACATCTATATAATCTAACGTAGGACACATTTTCTGAAATATCTCAAGCCAATAATACTAAACATTTTATAACCAGTCTCATCTTTTACTGGAGTTTGTCATATCACGTTAAATGTTTCAGTTACTCCTCAATGAGCATAGATCTTTACATGTACCATTATCCTAGCTTAGTTTTCTGTACATAAAAAGTTCCTTACATCAGGTTTGAGGTAATTACATGATTTAGAGTCAATTAAAACTACAATTTCAATACTCTTACAAATTGTCAAGTACAATTAGACTTGATAAAAAATATTACAACTAAAATTGATTCGTATTTTGTTTCAATTTTCTTCAGTTACTTGAAGAAAATAATTTAAAATAAATTATCATATTATTTTCTCCATCTGCTTGAAAATAATATAAAAATATCAAATTATTTTCTTCAATTACTTGACTTCATATTACTTTGACTTCATATTTTGTATTTAAATATTGGTACATAAATAATGAACAGGGACACCGTTTATTACATTTTCAGTCAGAACCAAATAGATGGAGAACAGTTAACATGATGTTTGTAAAATTAAATCAGACAAAAAATTCCAAGAGGTTTACAAATAACGAAACTCGTTTCACGTACGGTGGTCCGTGGTTCGAAAAAATAATCACATTCAGCTTCAATTACAATTACTCTGAACCTTCCCCACAGTTTAGCACTTATTCTTAATCCTTTTTGTCTCTTCTAGTTATAATGCTCCATATTAATTTTATTAAGTTCAACCTTTGATGGAGCCAAGGAAGAATTGATTCCATAACATAGCGAAATCATCAACGGGTAACAGCGTTGCGAGGACACACGGGATTGTTGACTCTTCTACTTCTGGGCACACTTGGTTGAGCTCTCTCTCTTTATTGTACAGGCTAAGAGCAGAAGTGAACAAAAGGGCACAATACCGTGACTGGAACAATACACAAATAACCCGCATATAGGAGAGAGAAAAGTTCACGAAATGGTCCAAGTCGCAATTAAGCGTCGCCCTAAGTTATTGTCCTATTTGTGGGTTATTTGTGTAAGAGCAATAGCCTTCGACTCATTTAATAGCCGAGCCCTAAGATATATTAACCTGCCTTGGGATGCGACCTACACCTGTCGACTGACACTCAGGAATCTATTTACTGTTAGGTGAACAGGGGCAACAAGAGAACATGGCCAGCGTTTCCACCTGAGTGGTGGATCGAACCACGGACCCTCAGTCAGCAGCGGTCCATTTAACTCTAAGAATGGTACATGATAGTTGACCAGAATTACAGGCTGTACTCAAGTGAAATCCTAAGCTAGCCTAACTGGGGTTGGCAAGTGTCTCTAGCATTGCTCTCCTATGTCTGGCTCAACCTAACTCTTGTATTTCCTATAACAGGATTCGGAATTGCTCAAACTAGGTGTATTGAAGTATGAGAATTTGATCCATGAAGATGGTGCTGTTTTTTTCCCCTTCATGGTACGTCATATGATCATTAACAATGGCTTCTCTTGCTTTGAAGAGTATCAAATGCGGAATTCAGCTCCTCGAACTACAATTTCCTTCCAGTAGACTGTATTGAGATCTGGATTCCTGCAGCTTCCGTGATGTCCGGGTGGCGTACCGTGGTCACTTACCACACCTGCGGCATCCATGATACACCTAGATCCACAAGATTCTCCGACCATACCTGTCCATGTGTCTCGCCTCCCGACTCTGTGAGTAACTACAGATCACAAAGCTGGTTTGTGAGTCTTCGACTTGCTTTCCCTGGTGACTAGTCAGACTCACAGCAGTGCTGCTTGTGGCTATCTTCACTCACAGCCAGGGCTGCTAGTGGCTAGCCTTACTCACAGCAGTAGTGCGAGTGGTTAGCCATACTCACACCAGTAGTCACGGTGGCTAGCTTCACAGCAGTAATCCTGGTGGTTAGCCTTAATCACATTAGTAGTCCTGATAGTTAGTCTTACTGCAGTAGTCGTGGTGGCTAATCTCATTCACATAAGTAGTCCTAGTATCTGGCCTTACTCATATTTTCAAGTAGTCCTGGTGGCTAGCATTAGCCGCATCAGTAATCCAGGGTTAGCGATGCTCAGAAGAAAAAAATTTGCAATAGTAGCCTGCCTTCAAATTTTACATTTTCTTTCATTTCAAAAATCTAATTGGGTCTTTTAACCTAGCTTTGATGCACTGATCACGAATCTGAGCTTGTTTTAGTCTCTGTTTTGAAATCCTGTGATCAATATTTTGGCTCCATAAGTCTGAAGAATGATGTAATTCACGTTTCCTAGCAGTCATAATTTTTATATTATGTGTGGTTCATGCGATGATTAAACATGATATTTTCTGTAAAGTAAAATATTTTAAGCAGAAAGTCTATTTAGGCATACAGACATATTTACATCACAGTTACCGTATTTTTGCTTGTGTTCAACGGTCTTCCGCGTCTAGCAGTAGTTGACGATCAAACTGATCGCTAGGCTTCCAAGATATCCTTTATTCATGGTGTTTATGTATTGGTGAAGTCAGTCACCGTGTTTATCGCTAATGTCGCCAAAATTTGGTGGGGGAAAGTCCTGGTGAGAATGGAGGAGATGATTCTTGAGGGACATAATAAGTTCTGGTGGAAATGGAGGAGGAAATGATTCTTGAAGGACATCCGACATCCCAGTAGATTATATACTGCCCGTAGCTCCTCTACAATATTTCTGTAATCATAATTATGATGATTGCCAGATACACAATCATCAACAGTAAAATCCACCTAGCAGACCCAGTAACAAATCTAGTATTTTTATCACCAAAGACTTTCCACCCAAACTTCCATCAGAATGACTTGTTCTCTCATATTAGTCTTTCAAATCTCTAGGGAGAGCTAAAGTCAAACATGGTAGGGTGTTGTTATTGTGAAGTAAAACTGCAGTTAATAAACAAGCGCCACATTGCAGGATCACGATGTTTACCCAAAGCATCGAAAAGTTCAATAACATCGCAAATTCAATTTTAATTTTTAAAGCGGTGGACCGATAAGCCAGCGGAAACTGTCAGATGACCAGAAGCACCAGTGGCGGGTCATTGCATGACTTGAGACCCGAGTCAGGAAACAATTGTCCTGTTTCTCGTGAATCTTACCTAATCAAGCCTAGTAACATATTAATTCTTCCAATTTAAAGTTTCTAGGTTTTCCTGTCGTTGAGGTCTCTTTGCCTCACTAGATTGTTGACTCCTGATTGTTGACACCAACTGGATTCAACACGGAATTCGAGCAAAGTGGAAAAGAGAGATTCTCTAAATGCTCCATTTGTCTGATTGCAGAAGATATGGATATGTTATTTTGGATTTTTTTTATAAAATTATCAACACACCTGTGATACAAAAATAACAATGTTCGGTTTGGTTCTTTGGTTTCTGCCATTCCATGGGGATTGTAAATGGCATGCGTGATTTTCTTTAGGCAAACCATTCGGCTTAATCAACCACGAGGCATTGTAAGCTTATAACTTGATAGTTGAGAATACCACTTACCCTGAACAAAATAATAAAACCTCTAGTCATTAAACAATCACATAAATCAAAAAAAAAAAAGTATAAATCATTATCCATAAGTAACCAAACAGTTAATAGACAGTAATATACGTAGTTGAACAGAAATTGGGATGAGGTTAGGGTAGGGCTCTATTTCACAGAAACTGTACTTGCTGAAAGAAAACTCAGTTCAGATCTGAATTCAGCGTCCCGAAATAGTTAGACCATATGTTCTTCAATGTGAGTTGAAACCTTTGTTGACCTGTGTGATCATATATAACCTTTGTTGATCTGTGTGATCATATATAACCTTTGTTGACCTGTGTGATCATATATAACCTTTGTTGACCTGTGTGATCATATATAACCTTTGTTGACCTGTGTGATCATGTATAACCTTTGTTGACCTGTGTGATCATGTATAACCTTTGTTGACCTGTGTGATCATGTATAACCTATGTTGACCTGTATGATCATATATAACTTTTGTTGACCTGTGTGATCATGTATAACCTTTGTTGACCTGTGTGATCATATATAACCTTTGTTGACCTGTGTGATCATGTATAACCTTTGTTGACCTGTGTGATCATGTATAACCTTTGTTGACTTGTGTGATCATTTATAACCTTTGTTGACCTGTGTGATCATGTATAAGCTTTGTTGACCTGTGTGATCATGTATAACCTTTGTTGACCTGTGTGATCATGTATAACCTTTGTTGACTTGTGTGATCATGTATAACCTTTGTTGACCTATGTGATCATGTATAACCTTTGTTGACCTGTGTGATCATGTATAACCTTTGTTGACCTGTTTGATCATGTATAACCTTTGTTGACCTGTTTGATCATGTATAACCTTTGTTGACCTGTTTGATCATGTATAACCTTTGTTGACCTGTTTGATCATGTATAACCGAGTCTCTGGGTCATTAATCACTTTTTTTCAGTTTGTGGTTATTTCTTTGTTGTAAGTTAGGATGTACTCTATGGTTTTCTATGACCCTTATGGGATTTAGTCCTTTCTCATGAATATAATAATAATAATAATAATAATAATAATAATAATAATAATAATAATAACAATAATAATAATAATAATAATAATAATAATAATAATAATAATAATAACAATAATAATAATAATAATAATATAATAATAATAATAATAATAATAATAACAATAATAATAATAATAATAATAATAATAATAATAATAATAATAAATATAACAATAATAATAATAATAATAATAATAATAATAATAATAATAATACAAAGTGTACCTGCTAACAGAACGAGATCGACACCATGCCTAACCCTTCCAGGGTAGGGTAGGTGCCTTAGCCCGAGCCTTTAGCTCATAAGACTGTCATTCCCATTTACCCCCTTGGGGCGGGGATGGCAGACCAGAGAGGCCTAGCTTGTGGCTAGGCCTGGGGACAGTTGGTCCCAAAGATGAGGAGATGCTTGTGCCTCCTCCCATGGGAGGCTTAGGTCTCAGACACTCCCTAAAGAGGGAGCCAAGGCCGGGCCACCACTTGGACAAGGCCCGGGCCGGGAGAATACCGGCTAATCTTTAACTAACTAACTAACTAACAGAACAGCCAGCTACTTACAGTGAAAAACTGGACAAACACTTTTACTGTTGCATCAGCTCGCCTGTGTTCTAACAGGTGGTAAAGATTAATAAGTATCGGGGTATAGTAATAAAAGGGCTGTACCACATAATACTGTAAGACTGTATACAGTTATTCGTGTTCCAGTAAAATAAAGAATATGATTAAAATATAATATTCGCTTGTAGAATGAGTAGCGGCCCAGTACCTGAGTTTCCAAGGTGAAGTATTTGTTGAACTTGTTAGGAAAATTCAAGCAGTTGCATTTCTTTACTAGGGAAACGTTTATTAGGTTAACTAATCAGGTATACATTTTTTCTAGGGTAACCAGACGGATGTATTCCTTTACTAGGTGACCGACCTGATGTATTTACTGTATTTTCTGGCATATAAGGTTCACCTTTTTTCAACAAAAAATCTTGGAAAATCATCCTGCGCCTTATATGCTCAAGGTCAGGATCAAGGGTAGGCTTTAGATTAATTTAGCATAAAGTAAGAGGGTAAGTAGCCCTTAAATACAATTACTGATTGACCATTATGATACTTCCGTCGTGCTCCTTATATGCCGAAAACTACGGTATTTTTCTATGGTAAGCAGTACAATATATCTATCCTGTTATTAGTGTGTCCAATCGGATGTATTCCTTTACAAAGGCGGAAAATTATGTTTTCCTGTATCGTGGGTTAATGCTAGCCAGTGGTGGGGTCCTTTCTACAATTTACATTTGTGCATAATTATCTCGTATGTTTACCTAGATCAGGCATTGCATCAGTGATTGTTTTATTAGCTTGCTTGCCGCTGAAGTATTCTTTTGAATAAAATATAAAGAAAACCTCGTCTTTTTTGCCTCCTCTGTAATGTTGCTTCTGAGACACCTTTTTCTTCTTCCTTTGTTAATCCTAAGTTTGCTATGTATTCGAGACTCAAAAGTGTGTTATCATTAGTTTTTAAAATATTTTTTTTTTCATGTGCCCGTGTCATTTAGGGTGAACACCAGGTTTAGCCTGGCTGGCTGGCTTCATCACCTTCATCATGGGGTCGCCCTGATGACTTAGCTCAGTAAATTCCCTGATAAAACTTCAATTATCTTTTCCCACTATGTATTTTGCATTCCATATGGTTTTCAGTTAACCAGTTAATATAATCTAAAATTGATAACTCCGGTATGCTTCACCTATTCTCAAAATACTGAATTGCTGTTGTTGATGATGGGGGCTGTATATTACCACCATAATACCTCCAGTTAGCAGGCTGTTAGGCATACAGGAACATGAACATCCAGGTTTAGCCCGTGGAATGTCTCGCAAACAAAAAATATCAGTACGATACATCGGCTGCACTTCCAGAAATTTTCAGAATTGCAGTTGATAGCATGTTTGCCCAATGCCTGGTGGGGTGGTATTCAAATCACTTTTAATTAATTTTTCATTAATTCATTCACAAGATGGAAAAAAAATTCTGCTGGAAATGGTGGAAATTTAAGGACAGATGCAAAAATACTGCCAATATTCCCGAGTTGACAGTGTGAAAACCACTAACTTCAATTTGATAGCCGGAATTCAGAAAGATTT